ATAGCCGGGGGGAGGGGGGGGGGGCTGTGCTATGTGGACATGCATTTGCTCAAGTGAACTGGTTTTGCCCTCTCCACCTATTTGACATGAACAAGAGCTTCACATACCAGCGTGACCAGGGAGCTGGGAGGGAGGCATGGCAGCAGGCTTTTCATTTTTTATCAAGATATCAGCCTAGCTTCTTATTTTTTCTTGTTTAAGAAAAAGCTCTGGTTATAATACTCACCACATTGTATCACTATTACTTGGGCAGATGTGTGCATCTCCTGGCTAGAGGTGAGACCCCTTAAGAGTGAACCACAGGAGGCTAGAGGGAGGTGAGTGGAGGGGCAAGGCAGGAGAGAAGAAGGCATAGGTGGGCCTCTACTCACTTTTGTCCCTCCCAATAGCAGGTCAGACCCTCCCCTAGGTTTCCCAGGGTGAGGGCCAGGGGGGATGATGAGGGTGGGAGGTCGCCTTGCCCACTCTGGTTAAGCAATGACATCAAAAGTCTCTAAAGGTCAGACAGCTGTCAGAGACAGCAGCTATGGGGATAGATGGCAATGCTCCCCCCACCCCTGACCCCCTCCTCTGTGACAGGCAGGTAGTCACAGCCCAACCCCGCAGTAGACATGGTAGCCCCACTCCCCTGCCACACACCGTAGATCTTCTGGATGCCCTGGAGATCATCCTGAGGCAGCTTGAAGTTGTGTGTCTCCATGTACTGGTAGAAGGGTGCCATGATGGCGCTGGGGTCGTTGGAGTGCTCCAGCCCCAGTGCGTGGCCCAGCTCGTGCACAGCCACCAGGAAGAGGTCATTCCCTGTGGAGAGGGGGTGGGGAGGTGCCCAAGGCACGCACGTAGTATCAGTCAGCCAATCTATTATGTCAGCAAACACCCATAGACTCTGTGCTAGGCCCTGTGCCGGGCACTGGGACACAGAGAAATCAGACACATCGCTGCCTTCTAGAGCTCTCCATATAGCGGGGGGTAGGGAGAGAGAAACAGAATAAGTGAAACTAGTGTTCTGGGTACTTTAATAGATGCCTGCAGGGCCGAGTGAGGATACCAAGAAGGGAGGAGTCACTTACACTTGAAGGGAGACGTTCCCTGAAAGCTTCATAAAGGTGAAGCTGGGTTTTGAAAGATAAGAAGTTAGTCAGGAGAATGGATTCAGGGGGCAGGAGAGGAAGGTGGGTAGGGATGGCATTCCTGGCAGAGGAAAAGCTATAAACCAGATCCAGGGACAAGCAGTTTCATTCCACTTGGCTCTGGAACAAAGCACAAGGGGAGGGCCAGAGAGCGATGAGGTCAGCCAGGCTGGCAAGCAGGGCTCCACGATGCTATGCAAAGGAATTTGGGTTGGCTTCCTGGCCAGTGGGGGGTTCAAGCAGGAGTGAGGGTGGTGACACGATGACATCACTCTGGCTCTGGTTGGAGGACAGTTTAGAGGGCTGTGAGACTAGAGGCAGGGGGACCAGGGGGGTCAGTTCGGAAACTGTACAAGGGTCCAGGTGAGAGATGAAAAGGGCCTGAGCCAAGACAGAGGTAGTGGGCCAAGCAGAGGGGAGTCCTGGGACGGCAGGCTGGAGGATAGCTTCAGGAGACTAGGGGCAGGCAGAGCTCTGGTCGTGTGGCAGCTCTCAGTCCTGCAAGACCTCAGTTCTAAAAGAACTGAGCTATGGCAAGATCAAGGCAGGGATTCAAGTTTGAGTGAAAAACAGGGTCCAGGTGCCGAAAGTGGGGCTTGGGGTCCCAAGGATGAAGCTGAGGCAGCAACATGCATGTGGTCGTGAGCACGTGCCTCTGAGTGGAACAGGCCTCATTCATGTCCAGCTCTCCCCTCACTAGCTGTGGGAACTTGGCCAGAAGGTCTATCCCCTGAGCCTCATTCACCTGTAAATGGGGAAATATCCCACCTCATAGGGTTGTGTGAGGATTGGGTAAGATGATATGAGTAGAGGGCATGGCTGCGGGTAGCTCTTGTTACCATACATAAGACAGGGAAGGCTGGTGCCTGGAACAAGCCCATTGACCAGAAGAGAAGCACAAGGCCAGTGGGGTTCCAGCAACCAGGTCTTCTTAAAGCCGACTCCCCTGAGCTCTGGATCAGGCCTGGAACAGGGCAAAGCCTGATTTTGGAGGGATTAAATCACCCCAGGTTTGCGAAGGAAATGCAAGGGGCTGGGAGCTGAGCAGGCTGTTGTTTCAACAGCCCTGACTCCTGTCTGTCCGGTTACAGACCTCTGCTCCCCTTGATCTCCGGCATTTGAATACCCTTGAGCCCTGCCTCTTACTGCCCAGCTATAAGGCATGTTGCAGCCTACTTCTGCCACCTTGAAGTACAGGGGAGGCTGCCAGGAGCCCAGGAGGTTGTCAGGAGTCATGGTGTCCACTCTGGCCCGAGTGTCACTGGCAAAGTTGCCCTACCCCAGCCCAGGCAAGGGCCCTGTGCAGGTCAGATGGGGTTGGGGATTGTCTCTGGCCTTTCTGGCTAAAGTCTTGGGAAAAGAAAAGAGCCCCATGGGCGGATCCAGACACGTGCATGGCTGCCGCTCTGCTGACACTGTCTGCAGACATCCCCAGTGTTTTCAGCAAAGGAGCACGCGCAAGATCAGTGCAAGGTTGGCCAAGAGCCTGGAGCTGCCTTCTGCTGGGGAAGGGCAAGCTGGCATGAGGAGGCCAGGCCGCCCCCTGTTCCTTCCTCAGGTCCTGGTCCCTCTGGCAGCAGGGAAGGGTGAGCTCATCTCTGAGCTCCGTCCCAAACAAAGGCTGCTGCTAGAGCCAGCGGAAGGCAGCTCTGCTTCCTGGGGTCCAGTCTTGGCTCTGCTCCTGGCTTGTTCTGCCACCTGGGACAAGCTGTTTGGGCCACTGTCTCCTGACCAGGCTCTTCCTTGGGGGCATCCACAAGGATCTCAGCTGGAAACCAGGGAGCAGGGCTCCAAGCTCCTGGCCAGACTAAGCCTTTGACCCCAGCCTGTGTCTGTTACTCTGTGAGCCTCTGTGCCTGGGTCTCTGCAGAGAACAGGAGTAAGTCCTTGAAGGAAAGGGCCTGTGGGTTTGTTCCAGGGACCAAAAGGCAGAGAACTGGGGAGCTGAGGTCTTACTGCACAGAAACCCAAGAGACCTGTGACGTGTGGGCTGCTCTGAGGAAATGCAAGGAGATAGGACAAGGGCCAGAGAACTTGCTGAAGCTTGTGAGGTAGAAAAGCAGAGGGATGGAGAAGACCCCAGTGGTCAGAATTACAGTCTCTGGGAGCCAGACTGCCATGAATCCAGCGCTGCCATGTCCTAGCAGGGCGACAGTTTAAGTCTCCTCTGTGAAATGAAGGGAACAGTGCTACCTTCATAGGGACTGCGGTGAAGATTAACGAGGCAAAGTTCGTAGGGTGCTCATCCAGGCTCCTAGCGCATAACTCACTGTTGATGGCGGGCTCACGATGAGCTGTGTGAGGACCGCATCCCCAGCAGGGCGTGTGCCTGTGGGCTGGCAGCTCAAAGCCTTGGGCCTCTTAGCAAGTATATACCTTGTTTCTGCCTCATTTCCTTCTCTTAGGACCCCCATATTTCGCAAGTCCCATCTGATGGACTCCTCTACCCCCCAAACTTTATAGAATTTCCCTTTGCCTCTGTTCTTTTGCCAGTGCTGCCCCTCCACCTGGCACAGCCTTATTCCTTCACAATTCAGTTGAGTGCCATGTCTTCAGGAAGCCCTCTTGATTTCTCCCACGGGCAGTGAATGTGTCTTCTTCTGCACTTTCCTAGCAATTTATTTGAATTATCTCGTGGTACTGACCACTTTCCACCCTACATTACACTCTCACTCCTCCTAGGACTGAGCTCCTTGAGGGCAAGCTTTGTGCTTGAGGGGGCTGGGTGACAGCAATCAGGGCATGACAGTGCCAGAAGCTCAGTATTTTCCCAGGCGTGGTTCTTGGACCACCTGCAGCAGAACCACCTGGGGCGATTGTTAAAAATTCAGAGTCCTGGGTTCACACCTGGCTGTGCCACTTACCCATTGTGTGAATTTCTTAACCACTTGGAACTTCACTTTCCTCATCTGCAAAATGGAGATTCCGATCCCTGCCCAGTCTAGCTCCCAAGGTGGGGAAGAGTCACTGAAGTAATTACAGAAGGGCTCTACCCTGTGAATTGCTGGACCGGATGACTCTTCTTGTCTTGTCACCGTCCCTGGGGCTGGGCTCCCTCCCCAGCAGAGCTTAGTGAATTCTGCTGACTTCACTGCTTGACTCACTGGAAAGAGCTGAGGACAGAAAGTACCTGGAAGCAGGCCCCAGCCCAGCTTAAAGGCGTGGTGGGCGGACTGCCTTTCACCCAGGCTCCAACAGGCTGGAGAATCAGAATCCCCTTGCTACCGAGTGGTTCTCCAGAGAGCCTTTTAAACACACAGGTGGAAGATTATGATTCAGAAGTTTGGGGTTAGGGTTTAGGCAACCTTTTTTTTTAACGTTCCCCAGGCAAACTTTATACAGGTTGGGTCAGGCTGACACACCTGAGCCAACCGGTCAACCTTAACATCACTAAAAGTGGGAAAACCTGCATCACAGGTGCTTCCCAGTGTGGTGGACTAGGGAGGACAGCACCACCTAGGAAGCGTTCTTGCCAAAAAGTGAGCCTGAATCTGGTCAGTCCTGTTGATCCAATTACCCATGTTCAGGAAACATGGGGAAGAGAGATAAGTTAAAAGTGAACCTGAATCTCGTCAAGCCCAATGACTATACTCAGGACAAGTGACCCAGTTTCTTCAAAATATATGGGGGGCAGGGGGGACCGGGAAAAGGAAAGCAAGGCGACTGTTTTAAATTAGAAGGGCCTTAAGAGACATGTCAGCCTTGTATGAATTGTGGCTGTTGTTTGGATTCTGATGCAAGCAAACAACTATAAAAGACATTTTTGAGGTAATTTGGAAAAATGAACACAAACTGGGTATTTGATTTTAAGAAATTATTGTTCATTCTGTTGGGTTTGATATTGATTTTGTGGTTGTATAAAAAATAATGTTAGCCTGGCCAGCATGGCTCAGTGGTTGAGCATCGAGGTTCGATGCCCAGTCAGGGCACATGCCCAGGTTGCGGGCTTGATCCCTAGTGGGGGGCGTGCAGGAGGCAGCTGATCAATGACTCTCTCTTCATCAATGTTTCTATCTCTCTCTCCCTCTCCCTTTCTCTGTCTGAAATCAGAAAAACATATTTAAAATAATAATAATAATCTGTTAGAGTTATATACCAAAGTATTTACAGGTGAAATGATTATGCCTGGGATTTTCTTTAACATACCTCAGCCAAAAAATAAGCATGTGAGGGGGAGGGTGGGTGAAATAAGAATGACATAATGTTGATAATTGTTGCAGGGTAATGGGTGCCTGGGGGTACATACTGTCATTCTCTCTACTTTTGTTGTGTTTGAAATTTTTCATACTGGAAATTTAGAATAGAGAAGAAAGCCAGTAAACAAAAAGTTCCCAGGAGGCTCTGCTCACTCCCCCGCTGAGTTTATGTGGAAATTAAACAAGATAATATACAGGTGCTCAATATATCTTGGTTTCTTTCCTTCCCTTTCCTTTCCCAAGCCGTCCTGGGGCAATCGGTGCATTCCAGCTTGCCAGCCAGGCCCCACTGCTGTGGCTATGAGCTGCATCGGGATAGTTCGTGCTGGGTTTTCCAGAGCACAGAACAGTCCCCACTCTTGTTCAGAGAAGACATTGGCCATCCTTGAATTTCTGTTGGGGGGGGTGGGGCAGATAGGAGGGTGCTGGGATGGTCCCAACTCCTTCCCACCCACAGCACCAGCAGTGCTTGGGCTTTTGAGACTGGGTCCAAGGTCTCCAGCAGCAAGGAGTGGATGTGGGAAATGCAAACCCCGGAGCTGGGAGGGGGAGGGCAGAGGAGGATGAGTGTCTTCTGTGTGCTTCTCTGGACAACAACCTTTAGGATTTCATTTATCTCTATCAGAGCTATAACTTAAAATCTCATCAGCTGACAGTGTCTGGCGTATAACTGGAGCTAAAAAATGTTAGCTCTCCTCTCCTCACACCTTATCAGTTAGCACAGACCTCCATTCCTTGACACTGATCCAAGAATAATGAGAAGAGAACGGGAGTTCTGAAAGCCAGGAAACACGTCCAGACAGAAGGGAAGGGACACGGGGCAGAGGAAATGGAGCGGGATAGGAGGGAGGACACAAACTCCGAGAGGGCAGGCAGGCAGAAACTGAACAGGTTTATAACTTTGCCTAGGCCGAGCCTTGGCCAAACCACCTCCTGAACCACCCTTTGAAGGACAAGCCAGGAGGTGATGATCCCCGATCCATGCAAACACAGGTACACACTTTTCTCAAGGAGGCCTCCGCACCTACAGACACTAGTCACAGCCTCTGAGGAATGGGCTTTGCAGTCTGCTCTCAGCCTGAGCTTCACCAAGGAAAAAGAATGCCCAGTGTTTCCCAAACTTGCCTGGGCTTATGAATGAGAATCTCCAGGGACAGGGCCTGGGAATCCACGTTTATTACAAGAACCCTGGTTGAGTCTTATGATCAGACAAGTTAGGGACACTCTGGGGATGGAGACAGTGTTTCCTGAGGTGATAGAACCCCTGCATCAGAAACACCGGGGGATTTTAGTAGACTAAGTGCAGCTTCCTAGCCCCAGCCCCAGAGTCAGAGAATCAGAATAGCAAAAGGTTAGGGCCCTGGAGCCTGGAATCTGTGTTCTTTACAAAGGTTTCTAGGTGCTTCTGCTGTGCCTTGCGGTATGAGAGCCATGGAAGCTTAGCATGGTGGCAAAGAGTACAGGTTCTGAGTCATATGCTCAGGTCCAAAGCCTTATTTCATCATTCACCAACCATGGGACCTTGGGTAGGTTACTTAATGTTTCTCTATGTAGCTTACCTATCTGTAAAATGGGGATAACAATATATACAGTTATGTGGAAAGCACCTGGCATGGGCCTTAGAATAGTAACATACTAATTGTCTATTATAATCCCTTTCTCCTCCAGACTCCTACTGCATTTTCTTGGCATTTCTGCTACATCCCTCAGTACAGTCTGCCTGTGACAGGGTGACTTATGTACACATCTGTCTCCCCAACTTGACTTGACTTCCAGAGGGCAGAGACCATGTCTTTTTTTAAAAAAAATGTTTGAATCCCCTGGGTTGTGTATCATGTTTCATTAAAGTCAGGAGGGACCTCAGAGATCACCTAATCCAGCCCCTCATTTTACAGATGAGGAGCCTAGGGGTGAAGTACTTGCCCCTACTGACATAGCTAGGTGGTTGAACTATGGCTTGAGCCCTGGCACTGCCACCTATTAACTATGCCACTTGAACCCCAAATTTTTCATCTTAAACATGATATACACTTGCCTACTTACTAAACATGCGTCTTATGAGTAAATACAGATGAGGGACTATTTTGCAACCTGAAGAGTATTGTTACTGTTACTGCACAGTCCTGACTCTGCATCCATATGATATTCATTAAATCATAGTGGTGAAGAGCAAGTTATCCAAGGGTGCTAGAATTATCTACCTGTGAGGCTGACGTAAGGGAGAGAGACAGTCATATCATACCATCAGATGGCCTTTGAGGCTGTCATCAGTCAGGCCAGAGCCTGCACTTTCAGACCCCGCTTGCAGCTATACTGCTTGTTTGGCCTTTTTCTCCAGCCTCTGATTCATTACCCCATCTTATTCATGGCCTAACTTTTCCCTCCTGACTCAGCCCAGTTAGATAATTTACTAAGTGATCTGACACATCTCCGTGGCCTTGACCCTGGTAGATCACATGTAAAATATCATCAGGGGCCACAGTTCCCACCCTCTTAGGTTCTTAGGTCTTGGACAAGAAGCTCTAGAGACTAGGAACTCATCTATGGTACCCTCCAGGTTCTTTCTGGGGGCTTCTGAGAAACCCCTGTCCCCTCGTTGCCTTACCATCATGGTTGGCATTTCCTAGTGTCCATGGCTCATCTGAGTCAAAGTGAGTGTCTCCTCCAATTCCAGGGCCAGGGAAGTAGGCATGGGCCAGGAATCCTCCTTCCCCATCAAATGGGGAACTGTCACCATGGAAGCCAGAAGCAAAGAAGATCATGATGTCTGCCTCCTTCCGGTCACTTTTGATCTCATGGTATGGCACCTCTTCAAAAGTCAATGGAGTCACTTTCTGCCACACATCGAAAGCCTGGCGAATAGCTTTCCGTGTGTCTAGCTCCCCCACCTTTGGGGTGTAGTTGTGAATGCTGGTGAGAGAGGGGAAGGAATTAGATTAGGGAGAACAGACAGAGAGTCAGAGACTAGCAGAGCTAAAAGGAACATCAGAGACCATATGGTCCAATGACCTTCAAGTTTTGACACCTAGAATTGCCCTAGGGGTTGAAGGAGAGGCCGAGTAGGCAAGCCTCAGTCAGAGTGTCTTTGCTTTAATCAGTGTTTTGTACTTAATCTCTGACAAAGTTGTGTTGAATATGGGATTTCACTCCAATTTGTAGAAAAAACATAAGTTGGTGGATAGCATTTTCTAAAATTTACGTACTTCTCCCAATATATACAATATGTACATTTATAAAAGTTATAAAAATATTTAAACAGTGGAGAGTTTAAGTGAAACATCTCTAAAAATCATTTAGTACCAACTACTGCTTGTCTGCCGGAAAGCTGGTATAGGGCAGTATCTGATTTAATCAGTTATAGATTTAGCTATTTAAGGTTACTGTATCCATATTACATGGTTCTCCACAATGAAGCATCACTACTTCTGGATGCTCTGCCCCATGGACACCTGGAACAAGGATTATTCCATTCCATAGGCAAGGAAACATGCCTGGAGAGGTGGTAGACGTTAAGGTCAAGGTTGGATTAGAATCCAGTTCTTTTTCTTGATGCCTGCTCTTGGTTGCTGGTCTGACTTGGAGACTGATCCTGGCCTGCCCTTGGTTTCCCTAGAGTCAGACAGTCAATGAATGACACTGTTGTGATTCAGGTCCCAGTTCCTCTTTAAGGAACAAGTGGAAATCTGTGCTGGGAATCTTGCATGAAGTCTATCAGACTAAGTGGTAAAGGGATACAGATCAGGAAGAGTGGTGTTTGTCAAGTGATGATAGGGGAATGGATTCAGCTGTGGTTCTTTATCACAACTGAACATTACTCCACTTTCCGTAACTGAAAAAACAATCAAATTCTAAACAGGACACAACTAAGAATCCCTAACAGACCAAATAAACCTGAAGTTGGAGACAGCATCCTCTGGAAGCCACAAGGATAGAGTCATAGGTTCTCAGCACCGGGCCCACACCTTGATCACAGACCCACCTACAGTGTGAGCCTCTGAGCTCAAGCCAGAAAAAAACAGAGTGAGAGTGGAGCCAAAACCAGGGAGGAAGAAAGGAAGTCAAAGCACCTGTAGGTGATGTGTTTCTGCCTCCACTTCTGTCCTGTCAGGGCATAGCGCTTGTTCCTCCGCCTACGGCTCAAATGCGGGTGATCAGGAACACCACACCGGGGCTTCTTCATCCACCTGGGCAGAGAGAGGACACATCCGCACATACACTGTGGCCACTGAACACTCCGGGAAGACAGTGCACAATCTCCAGTCCCAGTCTGAATGGCAGTGTGCACCATTGGAATCCTGGCTCTGAGGGATTCCCCAATAGGAACACGACTGACTCATTCATTCATTCATTCATTCATTCACTCACAATTGAACATGAGGAAACATTGCTGCATACGAGACTGGGAGTCAGAAGACACGGGCTTGATAGTTCCAGCTCTACCACTAATCATAGGAGCCCAGGCAAGTGACTGAATCAGCGTGAGCCTCAGTTTCCTCATCTGCAACTTGAGAATTCAAGTTCTTGCTGGTAGGTATTTGTAGTGAGCCTCAAAGGAGGGTGTGCATGTGAAAACACTCTGTAAATGTTATTAGATAACATCACTTTCTGGTTTAAAACCCTCCAAGGATTCCCTCAAACACCTAGAATAAAGTCGAAACTCCTCACCTTGGCCCACAGGGCCCCATGTGGTCTAGTCCCTGCCCAACTGTCTGGCGGCACCTTCCCTGTCTTCCTCCTCACGTTCTCTGCTCCGGCCACAGTGACCTTCTTGTTGTACCTTGAACTTGCTAAGATTATTCCCATCGCAGGGTCTTTGCTATTGCTATTCCCTCCGCTCGCAATTCTGTTTCTTCTTCACACGTTTGCTCCCTTCGTATCTGCACAAATGTCACCCCTTCGGAGGGAACCTCCCTAACCTCCCTGCTGCCTTCTCTAATACAGCCTCCCCCTCTTATTCCACCACTATCTGTTTATCTGCTTAACTTTCCTCCGTAGCACTTATCATTCACGGGAATTATATATTCCTGCTCATTCTTTGTCTCTGCCACCAGGTCCTAAGCCCCGTGAGGACAGGAGCCTGGCCTGCGTCGGATGAATAAATGAACTATTAATTTTCACGCTCCAGTGCTGGAGCAGTGCCTGATACGGAAGGTGCTCAGTAGTGACTTGTTGAATGAATGAATGAGAACCATCCAACAGTAGAATGACGTAGCTTGGAAGACAGCAAATGCCCTGTTCAAAAAGTGGCTAAACAACTGTAAGACATAGAATGTAACTTATTACATTCTACTGTGTTTTAAATATATTCGTCCGTTGCCTGTAATAAATGGGAAATTCTTTGAGGACAGGAGTGGTACAGTAATCACCACTGTGTCCCCAGAAGTTAACCCAGTGTCTGGAACTGAAGGAAATTCTGATAACTGTTTGTTATCAGGTACAGTTGTATCAGGGAACAGTAGTAAGCCTGGGACGGCTCTGGGGCCAGGGTAGGAGATTTAAAAGCTCATGGCTGATTGGGGCCCAGGCCATCCTTGAATTTTAAGTCCCTGCTGGCCTAATGACTAACTCACTAAGCTATGACTAGGGATTGCTGGAAGGGAAAACAGTCTGACCTCATTTGCAGTTGTTGAAAGCAGTTGCCATTGGCAATATAGAGAATAGACAGAATATTTTAACCAAATATTAAAAGCCCCTGAGGGGCTTAACCAGATCTGACTCATGTCTGCATGCCTCGTGTCACCTACAGTGTCCTACACTCTGAAACCAACAGTGGAAAACAATAAGAACAACACCCTGCACTGGAATAAACATTGATAATTTTCACATTTAAAATTGTTTTTCTGACTCTCAAAACAACTTTGTGAGGTAGCCAGAAATTATTTATTCTCTACTTTATAGGTGAGGGAAAGGAGACACACATAAATTGAGTGACTTGCAAAATACAACATACAGTGAGGTGGGGCTGGAACTAGTTGAATGAATAAATGAACTATTAATTTTCATGCTTAGCATAAGGCTGGGCTAGAGGAACTGTTTGTTGAATGAATGAGTGACTAGGTGAATGAATAATCTGTGACATTTCCCAAGGTAGGCACTCAAAAATAGTACTTTCCTCTGGCCAGTGTGGCTCAGTGGTTGAGCATCGACTTATGAACCAGGAGGTCACGGTTAGATTCCAGTCAGGGCACATGCCCAGGGTTGTGGGCTTGATCCCCAGTAAGGGGTGTGAAGGAGGCAGCCGATCGATTGATGATTCTCTCTCATCATTGATGTTTCTGTCTCTCCCTCTCCCTTCCTCTCTCTGAAATCAATAATATATATATATATATATAT